TGTGGCAAGAGGGGCCGACTTGTAATCTCACCAGCACCCCCCCTCCCTTCCCACCCAGTGCCTCCCCCCCCCAAAGTGGTTGTGACCCCTGCTTGCCTCTTCTCCCCAGTGTCGTTCCCCTCGGCTTCTCTCCCTTCCTTGGGCCTGACTGCGGGGCGGGACAGGGGGGGGGAAGAGCAGGGGAGGCCCGGCCTTGCCCAGCGTGGGAGGTGGACGGGAGGAGTTTCCCCTTTGGGAGGGGCTGGGGGGGGGAGGACTCCCTGCCTCCCTCTCACGGAGCTGCGCTGGCCCGGGGACATAATAGTGCCTTTGCGAGCCCACCTCTCCCCGGATCAGGTGGGCCACGTCCTTGGCCAGAGGGCGGCCGCCGCAGGAAGTCCCAACCCTCCCTTTGGAACCCTGTGCCCAGCCTGGGGGAGGGAAGCCACAGGAGCCCGATGCCACGGAGGTGCCGTGGTTTCACGTGGTGGGGCCTGGCCCCCCGTTGGCTAGCAGCACTGAGGAGAGAGGGGAGGAAGGCCACGGTCCTGGCCAGAGGGACTCTGGAAGGGACGCCGTTGCATACTTGGGCTTGGCCGCCATCTTGCCTGGAGCCTCGAGTCTCTTGGCCTCGGGTGGGGCGCCCCTAAGGCGTCGCTCACTTAGGATTGTGGGAGGGGGCCAGGGTGACTCGGCTGAGCTGCCTGAGCAGGGCTCCACCCAGCCACCCCACAGACACCCTCCTGGCCCTCCCCCCAGTGGGGGGGGGCAGGTCCCTCTTGGCTTGACCTTCGGCTGTCGGGCTCGTAGGAACCCCCTTCGGGGCTGCAGCTGCCCCTCCTTCAGCCTGACTCCCCCCCACGGCCTTCCCTCCCTCCCCTCGGAACGGCTGTTGGGCATTCCTTCTGTGTCGTTGTGTCCCCCCCCCCCCCCCGGGAGGTAGCTTGACCCTCCTCCTCTCCCTTCTCTGCTTCTTCTCCCCCCCCCCACCACCACCACCACACCACAAACCAGCTTCTCTGGCTCGGCTGCAAAACCTGGAGACGATCCATGAACTGCACCTTCCTGGACTGCATCTCGACCCTGCCCCTTCGAACAAGTTTCTTCCTTGGTTAAGAAACGCAGTATATATATGAGTACAGTACAGTATATATATATATATATAGTACTAATGGAATTTGGTGTGCTTTTTCTCCTCATATCCCCTCTCCC